GATATATTAAAATCAAAACAAATGTCTAGGAAAGGAAGATGGAAAACCTACTATTGAAGAAATCACCATGGACTGCTCTTTCATTAGCTGCTAATTCTATCAGCATTCCACCACTTGATGCTGCCTAAATAGCACGCAGCAAAAGAAAAACAAGAGAAAATAACAATGGACGAAATAAAAGGGTACTGTAAGGGTATCGAAAAATTAACTAAAACCGACATGTTAACGTTTATTTTCCTTAAAGTCGAAACAATTTCAGAATTGAAGGTTGTACTGTAATAAGTGGAAGCTCACCTCGTCCATTTCCATCCATCCAGCATCTCCATCGGGAAACATTTCGTCCTGGGCCACAACTGCTGGTTTCATTTTGTCTTTTTGCACTTTCGGCTATTCACGTAGATAAAACCAAGACAGTATGTTCCAACAAACCACGTGAATATAATTATAGTTTTGGTAGGTATGTCATGTATGGGTAATTATTATGTCCTAAATACATATTGTGTCCTATACTTTACATACATGTAATGTACTTTATATACAATACCCAACACACACATACAGCACGAAACAAGGCTAGATACAGCTATATACAGCTCTATAGGGCTAAACACAGCTATACAGGGCTATACAGAGGTATACGCAGCTATACAGAGCTATGCACAGCTATACAGGGCTATACACAGCTAGACAGAGCTAAACACAGCTATCCAAGGCTATACACAGCTATACAGTGCTATACACAACTATACACCGCTATACAGGGCTATAAAAAGCTATACAGGGCTATACAGAGCTATACAGGGCTATACGCAGCTATACAGGGCTATACGCAGCTATACACAGCTATACACAGCTATACAGGGCTATACAGAACTATACACAGCTATATACAGCCATATAGGGCTATACACAGCTATACAAGACTATACACAGCTATATGGGGCTATATACAGCTATATAGGGCTATACACAGCTATAAAGGGCTATGCACAGCTATACTCACCCATACAGAGCTATACAGAGCCATACACAGCTGTACAGGGCTATACAGAGCTATACAGGCCTATACACAGTTATACAGAGCTATACACAGCAATACAGGGCTATACATAAATAT